TTTCTGACGCAACACAAAGAACCAACTTTCCTTGCTGTTGATGAAGCTATTGATTCAAAAGTAATTATTCCATCTGAGGTCAACGGACAGTGTGAGACCAAGCAGTTGCAAATTTTTTGCTCTCATGGAGTTGAGCATCAGACATTTTAATAGGAGACAGTGGGGGGGAGTTCTCTGTGGTGGGTAATAGAGAGCAGTTTTACATAGCATTTCAAAAGTCTTCTTTTTGTTGTTTCTAATGAAATTTTCCCGTTTCTTCACACGTTGAAGAAAGACATATTAAAAAAAAAAAAATTCTTCATCAGTTTTCTTACTGCCTGATATGATATTCCGCTTTTTAATATTCTTAAATCCTTTCCATAGAACTTTCTTTCTACACTGACTACAGGACTCAAATTTGTAGCCTTGTGCCAGACTTAACGTAATAAAATATACATACGAAGGAGTGCTGAATATTTCTCGACCCGGCCCTCTTCTCGAGATCCGAGCCATTGCTTGCGTCGTCGCACAAAATTCACGTACAAGATGTCAGCTGGCTTTTATTTACAAGTTTCAAATAATGTTTCAATTTCAAAGTAGATATCTGTGTGAAATCTCTGAAATTGGATAAATCAAGCCCATTGTTTAAATTCATAAAACACCGATATATGATATTCGCAAAAGTAGATTCGGTTACGGCTAATTTCGTTTTAGTTTAGAATTACATCGCAAGTGAAAGCATTCTTCGACCGAACAGTGCAGTCATTTAATATTGTATTTGCTTTATTCAAATGAAATTTAAATGAGTTTTTCTTTTTCCTTTTCGTTTATGTCAATATATTTTCGAGTTTCAGTCAGAGGTTCTGGAGCTGAAAATATATAAAAACCCTAAGCGAAAGAAATTTAATGGAAGCATATACAGCAATACCGTGATTAAAGAAAGTAGTATGTTCCACTTTTATATTTCGGTATCAGAGGCAGACAAAACTGTTTTTATGCTAAATTATAGAACGAAATATGCACGTATTCAAAGTACAATACACCCACCCGCGCCCCCAAAACACACACAAACACACACACACACACACACATATATATATATAGTTTATGGAAAACTAGGTAAAATATGGGTTTTGGAAAGGAGGATAAAATTATTAAAAAACAAAAAATAAAATTATTTAATATATATATATATATATATATATATAATGAAACCCGGATATAAGAGAGTTGTCGGGACCGGAGAAGAAGTTTCTCTTATATATCGGGTTTAATCTATTTTATATACATTAACACAGGCTCTAATTTGGGACCAGAGAAAATTTATTTATATCCGTTTTTCTCTTATATCCGGTTTTCTCTTATATCCTCTTATATCCTCTTATATATATATATATATATATATATATATATATATATATATATATATATATATATATATATATATATATATATATATTAGTTTACTGCTACCAGCAAGAAAAATTTTTTCTCCTGATGATGGCCATTTTGGCCGAAACTAGTCGAGGAATCTAAATGAAATAATAATAAAAAAAACAAAAGAATATTAATCTACAACCCAGTGTGTCTGAAGATTTTAATTTTTTAATATGTTTTTATTGTTCAATATATATATATATATACGCGTATATATTTCAGCGCTATATATGAGTCAGCTTTCGTTAGACACTATGAAGCGAGTCTGTTAGGCAACGTTTTCAATGGTCACTCTTAAAAACAATTTTGACTAATTTTGATATTACCTACGTGAGTATGAAAGGGTTTTGTTAAAAATTAGCAGACATTATGCATGTAATTTATTCAATCAAACATATATATAGATATATATATTTGGATAGAAAGAGTTTTATTTCATGAAAGCTAATTTTCTTTCTTGTAGTAAAAATAGTTACAAAGAAAGTGTCAAAATTTAGATTAAATTATATGATACGTTTCATTTAAAAATAATTTTTGCTCAGCTTAGCAAGTAACTCGTCCATAAAACTCTCACATGTTTCCGCTTCTCTTCGTTGCCTGAAAAATAAAATATTCCTTTTTCATTCATTTCTATATTAGGTTGATCGGTACAATATTGTATCGAGTAACATTAATTGTACACATATTTATCTACGTTAAAAGGCACCTTGTAATGGTTAACAAGACTGTCTCGCTAGAACCATTAGTATTGAGTTTGATCCTCAGTGGGTGCCCCATACTTTCGGCCTTGTGCCATATTTAAGATACGCTTAGAAAATTAATATTTTCAACGTTAAAAAAGTCTACAGAATTATTTACAAAATAACAGAAGATGAATAAAAATTACAAATGGAGGAAGGTTTATTATTGCTAATGTACCCGTGCCGTCAAAAATGGCGTCAATTGTTGGAAAGTTTTCATAGTGAGATGCAATGAAAGAAAAGTCTTATAACACTCTATTGAGATTGAATAAAGTGGAGACAAACATTCACAGCTAAAATAGATGCCAATGAACCGTTTAATTAATCCGTTCCATTTATCAGGTCATCCCATAAGTTCTGTCCGAATTTTAACTTTTTGTTAAAATGAACGAAATTTAAAGAGTATTTTATAACGTCTAATGAAGCTGAACATTATTTTTATGTTTAGATGCATTTAAATTGATCAAATTTTATTTCAGAGAACAATAAAATTAAATTTTGTTTGATTAAAACCCTGCTAACATGGAAGTACCCAAGAATCATTTGAGGCACATAATGCTTTATGAGTTCAAGAAAGGAAACTCAGCAGCCGAAGCGGCTAGAAACATTCACTCAGTTTATGGAGAGGAATGTGTGAATGAAAGAACTTGCAGAAGATGGTTTGCAAAATTCAGAGGTGGAGATTTCATCCTTGAAGATGAAGATCGAACCGGACGTCCAGTTGAGTTTGATGAAAAGCTTCTTGAAGCAGCCCTTGAAGAAAATCCTGCTTTATCAGTTGAGGAATTGGCAGTGGTTCTCAGTTCAAACCATACAACTGTTCATCGTCATCTTCAACAACTTGGAAAAGTTCCTAAATTTGGAAAATCGGTGCCTCATGAATTGTCTGAAAACAACTTCAAATCCTGAGTTGACATCTGATCTTCTCTCCATTCTCGCCAACTTGTTTCACCTTTTTTGGATAGACTTGTGACTGGTGACGAAAAATGGATCTTTTATCGAAATGTTAAACGTCGTTGAATGTGGATTGATAAAGGGGAAGGACCCCAGTCACAGCTGAGAAGGGAACTTCATGGGCAAAAGGTTCTTCTTTCAATCTGGTGGGATCGCCAAGGAATAATCCACTTTGAATTCTTACCACCTAATTCAACAATTAATGCTCAAATATACTGTCAGCAATTAGAGCGTTTGAACCAAGCTTTGAGGAAAAAAAGACCTGCTCGAGTGAATCGAAAAAACGTGATGTTTCATCAGGACAATGCGCGACTTGACACAACAAGAATCACGTCACAAAAGATCGAAGAACTTGGTTGGGAGAAAATTCCTCATCCACCTTATTTTCCCGATCTTACTCCTTCAGACTACCATTTGTTTCGTAGCTTACAGAATCATTTGGAAGAAACAGCTTTTGTAACACAGGAAGAGGTTAAAATTGACATTTGTGAGTTCTTCGAATCAAAGCTAAAAGAATTTTACAGTAATGGAATTAGTAAGCTTGTTAATAGATGGAAGGAAGTCATAGATAATCAGGGAAAATACATTGTTGATTGAATCTGTAATTAAATGTAAGATTTGTCACTTGTTTTCTTTATTCAAAATTCGGACAGAACTTATGGGATGACCTGATACGTATATTTGACTTTCAATGGGACAGAAAATATATAAATACATAGTTTTTTTTTCGATTAATTTAAGGCAAAAAAGAAATCGAAGTGTTCGTTATAGTTAAATTACAAAATTCAAATTTAAAAAAGAGAGAGACACTTCTGCGTAAGCCTCTTTCTGGTTAATGTAAATTTCCTTTATACCAAGAGTTTTTTTTTTTCTTTTTTTTTTTCTTTCCATTTCGATAATATAATTAAATTCCCAGATCAGTTCTGTGGACAAGACAAATTGTTATAAGATGACAACTGGAAAAAAAAAATCTTTTCATTTTTGCCTTGAAAAGATCGGAAGACGAAACGCGTGGGTAAAAACTAAGATATTTTTTGTTTTTTTTTCCAATTGTCATCTTATACCGATTTATTTTGTACAGAGAATTGATCTGGGTATTTAACTATATTAATAAGTAAGTGCACTTTGATAATTATTATATGATTTGATTATATGTGTAGATGTTAAATGATATAGATATTATATAAAATAAAATATTTATTTTTTACGGCTTATCAAGCTTTTACAGGTTATTTAATGCCAGAAAATATTTTTTAGATTTTCATAAGTGGTTTTTTTTTCGAGATAATAATGATATTTACTGATACAAGTTCTACAAACTGACCTCTAACTTTGAGAAGAAGACGTGAATTCCTACATTTACCAAGGGTGTTTGTGTGAATATAATGAACCCGACTAGAATTGAGACTTGAATCTCCGATTTAGAATTCAGTCTTTATCCATTACACCACCCGCACATCCAAATTTACATCATCTGCCATTCCTAAGTGGTCACACATCTCAGTACTGACCAGCGTCAACGTTGCTTAACTTGTGTTTCAAGGTTATATGGATTATGCCTGGTTATATAAATCGCATTTTGCTCAATGGCTTTCCCTGTTTAAAAAGAAAATGTGTTTAAGATAACAATGAAATGAAAATATCTCTCGGAAGAGAAAGATTAGCAACAGAACGATAAAAACGGTAACAATGATGCCTATTTCAAAACCAAATTGAAACAATATGATCACTTAATGGACTGGGATTATTTGTCCATTAAGTGATGGAATTGTTTCGATTCGGTCTTGAAATAGGTTTTATCGTCACCATTTTTATCTCGTTTATTAGATTGTAGTATTAGATCTGAGTGCATCACACAAAAGGCTTGAACAAATAATACTGCAATCTAATAAACATAGAAGTAAAGGAACTGATTAATTAAACGGCTACAGTGGAATTGATGACGTTGTCTTTGATTTCATATGGTTATCAAACTTAAGACAGAATTCCATATCTCATCCATTCTTTATTGTCATATATACATATGTTTTACACACACACACACACACACACACACACACACACAGAGAAAGAGAGAAACCCTATTATATAGCAGAATCATATCACACTAGCACCCTTATGTCACCCGTCTCAGTGGTGATATTAGTGTAAATATCTAGACCACTTCCTTTTACTCAGTCTTCTTTTGTGTGTATGTATCGTAAATTAATTGATTTCCTTCTTTATTTTGGCGAACCCACCGACATTATTCCAGTCTCAAGTCTATATTCAGTGGCAATTTTGGTCAAACATATGATATCTTTTAAGGTGAGCACAAAACATATTGGGGTCACTGAAGTTCAACTCTTCTTGGATAAATAGTTCTTGATGGGTATTCATTTCAATTCAGTCCACCGTTTTTTTTTTGGCGCGAAACATAATACATAAAGAAACTACGTTAATTAGCTAGTCAAGTGTTCGCTGCTTATTATAATTTTGAATAATTTTTAATTAGCAGAATGTATTTTATCGTGGTTATATCTGAATTAAATGCAAAGTAAAATATTTAAGCACGGGTGGTCTTTGGTTAATTAAAATGAAATTTTCGAGTTTTGCATTTCAAGAGAAAAAGATCTGACCATTTAGAATATTGGATAGAAGAATATTTTTTCTTTTTTTTTTCTCTTTCTTACCATTCGCCATTTTCTTTCTTTCTTTCTTTCTTTCTTTCTTTCTTTCTTTCTTTTACAATGTTTCCCGCTTGCGTCAGTATTTTTTAATATCTCGTTTTTTTTGTCTTTCCTTTGTAATGTACTATTTCTTCAATATATATTTGTTTTTTTTTTTTTTTTTTTCCCTCTCTTCCTTTTGTCTTTTTTCCTTCTTTTTCCGTTTCTCCTTTTACCTTCTATTCCTTTTTCTTTTCTTTTTTTTTCATTAAATTTTTTTATTTTTTCCTACCTCTTGCCTTTTTGCCTTGTTTCTTTCTTTTCTTCTTTTTCTTTTTCCGTTCTTCTCATCCCAGTTACACCTTTTTTCCCCCTTCTTCTTATTTTTATTTCATTTTTTTCTTTTCTCTTTTTTTTTATTATTTTTCCCTTTTCTCTATTTTTCTTCTTTTTGCCTTTTCTTTTTTTTTCTTCTTCTTTTTCATTTTCTCATTTTTTTTCTTTTCCCTTCTCTCCCTTTTTTTTATTCCTTCCCCTTTTCTACTTTTCCCTTTTTTCTTCCTTTTCCTTATCTCTTTTATCTTCTTTTCCCTTTTCTTCTTTTTCTTTCTTTTCCCTTATGTCCTTTTTCTTCTTGTTTCTTTTTCTCCTTTTTCCGTCTTTCTTTTTCTTCCTTTCTCTTCTCTACGTTTTCTTCTTTTTCTCCTTTTTTCTTTTCCCGTTTCTACTTAGTCTTTCTTTTCCCGTATTTGTCTTTTACTACCTTTCTTTTTTCTTTCTTTGTTTTGTTTTCTTTGTCTTTTACATTTTCTCCCTTTATTTATCGTATTTAAATATAAAGTTTTCATCCCTTTTTTTTCTCATTTCTTTTTTATTCGCATTTTTTTTCTTAGAATTTGTCCTGATTATATCTGTTTTCTTTCTTTCTTTCTTTCTTTCTTTCTTTCTTTATTCATTTCTTTCTTTCTTTCTTTCTTTTCTCTCTTTAATATTTCACATCCTTTATTTCTATTTTGGGTATTAATTTCTTTTCTCATACCGTTTCTATATTTCTTCCTTTGTTCGTTTCCTACCTTTCTTTTCATTTTTCTTTTCTTTTTTCTTTCTTTCTTTCTTTCTTTTCTTTCTTTATTTCTTTCTTTTTTTTTTAATTTTTTTTTTCCTTTTTTTTTTTCTTTTTTGATTTTTTAAAAAAATTTTCTTTCTCTTTTTTTTTCAAAAAATTTTTTTCTTTGTTTTTTCTTGTCCTATTGGCTTTGTATTGATTCTTTCCTTCCTTTCTTTCTTTCTTAGTTTTCTTTCTTTTTTTCTTTTCTCTCTATTTTAAATATTTTGCCTCATGCTATTCGTTCTCCTTTGGTTTTTTAGCTTTTTCTTGCCCTTTGCCGTTTCTATGTCCATTTTTCCCCTTAATTTCTTTCTTTCTTTTTTGTTTTTTCTTTCTTTCATTTCTCTCTTTATTATTTCACATCGTTTCTTTCTATTTTGGGTATTTATTTCTTTTCTCATACCGTTTCTATATTTCTTCCTTTGTTCGTTTCCTACCTTTCTTTTCATTTTTCTTTTCTTTTCTTTTCTTTCTTCTTTCTTTCTTTCTTTCTTTCTTTCTTTCTTTCTTTATTTTCTTTCTTTTTCTTTTATATTTCTTGTAATTTGTCCGGTTTTTTTCTCCTTTCTTTTTCTTTCTTTATTTGTTTTTTTTATTTTCTTTCTCTCTTTTTCTTTTTGGCATTTCTTTCTTGTCCCTTGTGGCTTCTGTATTCCTTCTTTCCTTCCTTCCTTTCTTTCTTAGTTTTCTTTCTTTTTTCTTTTCTCTCTATTTTAAATATTTTGCCTCACTCTTTGTTTAACCTTTTTAATTTAAATTTGTCCGTTTTTTCCGCTTTTTTTTTTGTTTAATTTGTTTTTCTTTTTTTTTTTTTTCTTTCTTTCTTTTTTCTTTCTTTCTTTCTTTCTTTTTTTTTTCTTTTTTTTTTATTATTTTCATTCTTTCTTTCTATTTTGGGTATTAATTTCTTTTCTCTTGTCGTTTCTATATTTCTTCATTTGTTCGTTTCCTACCTTTCTTTTAATTATTCTTTTCTTTCTTTCTTTCTTTCTTTCTTTCTTTCTTTCTTTCTTTCTTTCTTTCTTTCTTTCTTTCAGTTTTTAAATATTACGCCTTGAGTCAAGCTTTCTGCTTTGGCTGATTATCCCTTTCTTGTTCTTTGTCGTTTCTGTCGTCTTTTTTTTTTCTTTCCTTCCTTTTCTTTGTTTGTTTCGTTCTAAACACAAATTTAATCTCTATTTCACTTTTTTTTTACTCCTCTTCCGTCCTGTTCATTTATTTTCTTGTTCGTTCGTTTGTTCGTTCGTTCTTTTTCGTCCTAGCAGCCGATAACATTTGAATGTCAAGGTCGTTGAGTAGGAAGAGAAATATCTCATGTTTCGATCAGAGAATATACAGCTGGGAAATAACTCTCAGCTCGAGGCAAAAATGTTGAAAAATCCTAAATAATCAGCATATCGAATTTCCTTGTAATTATGAAATGTATTTATAAGTGGTAGAAAGACTTTAGATTATACAAATTAAATAAAACACAGATGGAAAGAATTATGAGTTTTTTTTTTTCATTACAAAATACGATTCGCCATATTTGATTTCAAGAAGGAATTTAAATTAATGGATTAAACTTGGGAAGAATTTCAAATGTGTTGATATGCAAAAAAATAAAAAAAAATAATTTTAACAGGAAAATCTAGGAATCAAATATATGTTGTAGAACATATATTGATTTCTTTGGAATTTCAAACAGAACCTTCGTCATGATTCCCATAATCCCAAATCACAGGGACGCCTGATGGACTGTAGTCATAGCCGCAGTGTCTGGGGCAAGTTAACCTGACGGAATCCATCTCTCTTCAGGATGGTTGGGCATTTACACCTTTCTTTCTCCTAAATTGGTTGACCCCTCAAGAGAAGATAGCCTAGTCAGAACAGCTATTTAACCCGCACGTGTGGGGATGGAAAAGGATTCTTACCTGTGGCAATAATATAAGCACCTCCCATCTCCCCTCTCGTTTATAACCATCCGCTATAATAAAATAATTTTTTTTAAGCTAAAACTTAATTAGTAAAAAAGAGTTGTTGTTACATGATATTACTTTTCCTAAGGGTATTAGTGCAGAAGTGAATATCACGCACTCCGATGGAATTCGAACTCGTCTCGACTATTTCTTTTTCTCTTTCCCGGTTACTAACCATTACAGTACCCGTTGTTAAAGGTAATCTTGTATCATTAAATTCACGAGTTCAATTGCTGTAAAAAGTTGTCTGGAAAAGACATCCAGTCTGTATCGATACAGAGTAACATCTTAAAAAGTAATTGAAGGTTACGAATTAGGGGAATTTCCTTCTGAAGTACATGAGATATGTAAATGGAAAGAACACAATAATAAAAAAGTAGATTAAATGTTACACTTTCAATGACTACTATGACTTAAACGTCTATTGGTGTTCAAGTTTATTTCTGACCATAAGGAGAACTCATATATACGATCTCTTCTAAATACACTCGTAAAATGGTCGGCTCATTCCAACATTTTTATAACGTTAGAGACTTGGAAGAAAGGTTTATTCTCCCATTTAATCTCCCCCCCCTTAATGGACATTATTATAACAACACCGTACTTCATGTAGAGAACGGGATAGTTGAATGGAAAAGGAATGGCAAACAGGTTTTGTTCTCAGGGAGACTTTTATACTACTAAGACATACACAAAAATATATATATACACACGTGCCCCACGCAAAGAATAATATATCACATATATCTACACGGCAAAACAAAAGTAAGACGAAACAAAAAGGAAGGGTCTTACATATAATAAGAAGAGTCTTCTCTGTTTCTAGAGAAACCATGTTTAGGATTCCTGATCAGACCGGTACAGATTCATCTACTATGTCACAGGCGAGGATATATTCCTCGAACGGGAAACGGGGAATCATGGGTTTTCCCAAATTGAGGATTGCTAGCCAGAGATTTCTATATCTGGGAAAGATATATTCCCATAGAGACATGGCACCATGGACTTGTAAACTGTAGCATGTGCTGGAGGATTCAGATTTAGCCTTAGCCCAGGCCACTTAGCCCAGGTTAAATCTGGCTGCTGTAAAAGTGATTGTCCAATCTCGTCACTGTATGAGTGACATCACTGTGCCCGTCACGCCATCCACATGCCTTATCTCCGCCAATGGGAGATAATCGTCTTCTGTATCCTTACTTAAAAAAAATCATTTCACCTAAGTAAGACAATAAAGCCACTAAGATGCTGACAACTGCCATGCTTTAGAAATCGGTAGTGTGTTCTTGTGGTGAAAGTCTTAATTTCTACTCTATCCTCTCATTCACACTGACGCACCGTTGCAAAGCCTGTCGCTAACTCTGTTGCTATTTCCATGGCAAATGTTCAGATGAAGTTCCGTCTTTGATTCCATCAGTACAAACCTTTTCCATATGGACACGCAACGTCACTTCCACAATGTCGAATCACTCTCATTTCCCCCGAATGACAATGTAATTATTACACGCTGGCGCGAGTAATTTATTTCTAATAATGTTTCTAATTTATTTGACTATTTAAAATAACTAAAAAGAAAATATTTTTAAAAGAAAATATGAACGTGTCCTGTTTCTACAGCAAAATATATACTGTCGAATAGGGTAGCAGCCGCTACACATGCTTTAGCCAGATGTATGCATGCGTTAGAAATTTATATAATCTATAGCTGACCCTTTTTCAGCATTATACCAAAGACATAAAGAGGAGTATGCGAAGTGGAAATTTCAAGAGACAAGCGCTTTTTGGGCAGCATTGCGAGCGAGGATGGACGTGAAACTCCGCGCTCCCAAAACACAACGCATTGCTTAGACACAAAACGCACTCAATACTTCTCTCAACAACAAAGTAAGTTAAAACGTTCACTTATTTTTTGACAGGAACGACCACAAGAATATTCTTTAATTAACTTACTCTTTCTGGAATTATCCTGAAACACTCGATATAACAAATGTTCCCGATCGAATAAAAACTTTCTATCTCATTTTTTTTTTTTTTACACTGTCAGAAGGCAACAGGTTGAGACCTCAAAGGCTTCCAAAAGAACAAGGGTAATAAACGATACAAAATATTAACGCGTATTGAAATATGATACTATATATTAGCCAAGTGTAATGTAAAAAGAAAATATTCTGGAGCAGTGGAATCTAATATAAAGAAATACTTGCGTCAAAATACCTACAATGGAGCATACGAAAATGGAGTAATGTAAGATACAATAACTTGGCGTAGAGTAATCTAATATAAAAAACAAAAACAAAATGGCGACAAAGAATCGAAGATAAAATATATTGCTAACAAGTTATCGAAGATACAATGAATTGGCGAAGATTCATAAAACATATCGGTGCAGAATGCTATGTTTCAAGATATTGGCAACGTAGAATATGAAATACAATATATTGGCGACGAGTAAACAATAGATTAGCGCTAAATTGGCGTAGAATATTCTAATATATAACATACTGGTGATGAGTGTTCTAAAAAAGAACATTTTAGAGAAGACAAAGATATTTCCTGGAAACTGAAATAATTGATGCTCCTGGGACTTTGGTTACTTCTATACGTCTGTTCTGTTCAACAAATGCTTACATATTTCTGTTCAGTAAATGCTCTCCTTTTCCTGTTTAACAAGGACTCTCCTTTCCTGTTCAGCAAATGCTCTCCTTTTCTATTTAGCAAATGCTCTCCTTTTTGGGGTTCATCAAATGCTCTCCATTTCCTGCTCAATAAATTATCTCGTTTTTCTATTCATCAAATGCTTTCTCTTTCCTCTTCAACAAATATTTTCCTTTTCCTTTTCACGAAATGCTCTCCTTTTCTATTTTACAAATGCTCTCCTTTTAGTGTTCATGAAATGCTCTCCTTTTCCTGTTATTGTAGTGATCGGGGAAGCAACCTCTTGGGAGTCGGTTCTCTAAGGTAGTGGTTCGTGAGAAGAAGCTGTTTGAATGAAACTTAAATTTCACCAATGGGATAGGGAGAGAATAAGCGTGGTTTGTTACGATATGCGTGGAATGGTGGATTTTAGCCATGAAGGTTACGACTATTAGAACTAAAAAAACATCCCATGACCATATATGGCAGCAGTGTTTCATTTTCGGTCGGATCTGGCTCTTGGAAAGGTAGAATTTTTAAAAAAATTTTTTTTTTTAAGCGTTTCACCTCAAGCAAGGCGGGAAGCCACTAGGACGCAAGGGGTTACAGAAAATTTGGAGCAAGATCAGATAGAAGTGATAGAGGAAAAGATTAGGAGAAGGATAGTGGATAGATCAAGGCAATTGGAGATGTCGATTGACATTACATTTGAATAGTTGGAGATTATAGCTCTCAGTGAAACTGGAATAGGGAAGGAATTTCCACAGGCGAGAGGTGCGAGACATGAAGCTATTGGAGTAGAAGAGGCGGCTATATTTAACAGTTTCAACAGTGAAAGGGTGAGAGCGGGATGCCAGCCTCGTAAGGCGCTTGAACTCATGAAGTCTGGGAACTAGCGAATGCAGCTCCTCGGAACAATTTCCATGAAAGTATTTGTAAAAAAGACAGAGAGAGAGAGACGACGGCGCGTCTGTGAGAGAGTGACTGTAGACGAGATGCCAGATCAGGGCCAATTATACTACATATCCGCCTCAGGTGCCTATCAAGAACCCCGAGGCAAACAGAAGGGGCACCGGACCATATATGGCAGCAATAATCCATGCAAGGGAGAATTGTTGATTTGTAGATCTGAAGGATCGATTCCGGGGAGAAAAATTTCTTGGCGCGGCAGAAGGAGCCAACTTTCCTTGCGGTGGACGAAGCAATTGACTCAATGTCGTATTATTTGTTCCATCTCAGGTCAGCAGTCAACGTGAGACCGAGAAGCCATAGAGAGGTGCTCTCGAGAAGTTTAGCGTCAGACATTCTAATGGAGGGCAGGGAAGTATCTCTGTGGTGATTAATAGAGAGCAGTTTTGTTTTTGAGGCATTAAAGTTGACCAGCCAATTCCTGCCCAAGTTCACAACCGATTGGAAGTCCTTTAGCAGGAGGAATGAGGTACTTACTGGAGCGTTACAGGGTACCGACCATTTTTTCAAGTCGTCTTTTACGATGGATCGTATGTACGAGTTCCAAGAGGTTTCCAGATCGCTGGATAGGAAGAGGTGGCTCGATTCCTTGGCGCCTTCGTTCACCATATATAACATCTATGCGATTTTTCTTGGGGTTAGACGAAAGATATCGTCTTCAAAGAATAACTGTCGCCATTGTGACTTTCAAAAGTCAGGGATCGATTTGACGCTATTTATGCCATTGACAAGTCACCGCTTTCTAAAATTAAAAAAGTTTGAGTGATTCATCTACAGAAATTATCCCTCTTCTAAATGTTCACTATTTTGCTTTACGGGTGGACCAGTCTATTTAAGTTGTGTCTTAGATTTATCTAACTCCCCCTCCCCCACTTGATTCATAGAAGGTCGGTTTTTAATGTTGGGGCCCGAGTGTTTCCACTCGGGCTGTTGGTCTTAGCTTGTCTAAGCTAGTCATGGCCGATCATACCACCGCTACGTAAAAGATGTCACACGACGGTGTGGCAGCGTGGGGGTGAGCAAGGGAGGAGAAAAGGCCTCTGTTACGAAACAGATTCTACATCTGTAGCATTCATCCCGACGGGAAAATTCCACTTTTCATCTTCTGACAATCCCTCCAGAAGAATCCAGAATAATTATTTGTGTCCATTACAAATGTAAAACGTTTCATTATTAATAGCGACGTGTGACTTTAAGACTAGGAAACATGTTTCAAATAATGAAAACATTGAAATGCTAATGTTTCGAAATCAAAGTTAGATTTTCCGAAGTAAACCTTAAAAATATCTGAAGTCAAATTTAAAACGTTTGAAGTCTAGCAGATAAAAGTGCAGGATTATATATTTCCTTACCAACCGTTGAGTAATGGTTTGTATTTAATATGTAGCCCATTACAAATCTGAGTTAATATACGTTTCGAAATGCTGGTAATGATTTCTCAAAGAATAATCTATGATTCTGCATATTGAAAGTGGTGGATACTTTCAGAGCTCCTTTGATCCAGCATTGTTGTCTGGCTTGAGAAAATAGGAAATTACCATTTACACGAACAGTGAATTCTTCTGTGGGCCTCCATTTTGGGAAATTAAAGAAAAAATTATATAAGTACTATAATTTATAAACTAATTTAATAGATTAATAATAATGTTAATTTTAAATATTAATAAGATAAAATATTAATATGTTAATATAAATTAATAATAAAATAGTAATATATTAGTCTAAATTAAAAATATTAAAAAAATAATAAAATTAATTTTATATATTAATTATATAAGGAGTGTATATAAAGGAAATATTATGAACTACTTCAACAGCAGTGGCAATTTGTTGGCATTAAAAGCATCCAGTCTGGGAGTCTATATATGTACTAGCGCACATAAAGGTTCCGTAGAATTTAGTTTTTAATAAAAGTTTATTTTCATTAAATTCCTAGTAGTAGAGCCCGGTGTTTCCCGGGGATGTAACAGTAAGAGATAGATCAAGTATCGACCATCATAAAGACTGAAAAATAAAATTGACAAAGATTATTGTTTAAGGTTGACGGACACGCATGACTTAATTAGTTTTTTTTTTTTTTTTACGAATTGGTCAAACTCAAACAAAAACTGTTTTCAATCGTTATGAGTCTACCAATTGAATAGAATTTTTCAATTTTATTATAAACAATTGTCTTGTAAATGGAATTTTTTAAAGCATTCTGAATGTAAAAATAAAGAAAAAAGTGTGCAAGACAATAAGAAACACTACCTGCCAAAAAAACATGAAGTTTTTTTTAAATCGGTTGAAAAATGCAGGAAATCCGATCCATATATAAACGAACACACACACACACACACACACACACACACAACCTGGGTTTTGTAATAAGTATAACTCGATATGAGTTGTCCCCTTTCATTCTCGAAACAGCAATGTCTCTTAATCGTGTTTTCAAATTGATTTCGGGCAAAAACAATTATGTTTTTCCAATTTTTGCCACTGTCAGAACCACCGCAAGGTAATTTTACGTAGTCCTGTGAAGTTTTATTTGAAGTCGGTTTGAAAAATGTAGGAAATCCGATCCAATATATAAACAGACATACACACACACACACACAACCTGGGTTTTATGTGTATGATTTTTACTTCAAAATGAAGCATATACATTTACTATTTTTATAATGCAATTCCTAAACTTATCTATTAATAAAAAATAAAATAAGCATTTTTTTTTGCATCGATTTGATATGGGAGCACCCCCACAATCCAAAAAAAAAAAAAAAAGAGTTTTCCATGAGTAAAAAAAATGTCGAGGACAACTGCAGTAAATTGATAACGTGAAGGACTAGATAAATAAATCGGCGACGAGTAATCTATGATTCAACAAACGCAATTATGAAGCATATTGGTAAATCTAATAATAATAATGAGATCAGCTGTTTCCTTATAAGGAAACATTCGGTATTCATTGACCGAACTCTTAATATTGCTGTCGAATGAAATTTATATAATCTTTCTCTGGAAAGAGTTTTTCAGGAAAATAGGTTTCTCAAGTCCATCTATTCATGTCGATCTTTTTCGTACTGATAGGAGTTTCCTCTCTAACCTTTAGTTTTGTAGGGAGAAGGGGATATAGAAATGTCCTTTCATATAGCCCCATAGAAAAAGAATCACAAGGTGTCAGGTCAGGTCAACGTGGTGTCCATTTCAACAGCACATATTTTTAACAAAATTTGTAAAAAAAAAACTAAGTTGATTGTGCGGACATCTCAGTGTGAATCAGGAAGATGGATCGAGCGTGTCAGATGACAATGTGCGGTTGAAATGGCCACCACGTTGACCTGACTTGACACATTTTTCTATGAGGCGATGTGAAAGGACACTTTTATATCCTACAAGCCTAGAGAAACGTAAACAGAGAATCACTGAGGCGGTAGAGAATGTTATGCAAGACGTGCTACAGCGTGTTTGGCAGGAGCTGGACTATCAACTTGACGTGTGTCGTTTCACAGGTGGGGTGCATATTGTGAATCTTTGTGAAATCGTTTATAAAATCGACACCACTTTGAACATCTTGTTCGAATTTTGGTAAATAGATCTTTTATTATTCAACATGAAGCCCATTTTATTTCGCTTGCTTGTGACATGTGGTTACTCAGATAGTCACATTTTAAATGGTGTCAATTTTTTCGACACTGAAACTCGGACATAAAAAAGAATGTAAAAACTACTGAAATCAATTATGAAACTGCCGACGAATCTGTGGTATGATACCGACTTCTTGCAAAAAAAAAAAAAAAATGTTTACATTGGGAAAAAATTGTCTGCGATCCCAGTTAGGCAGTGGGTAATGCGCTTAAGTAGTTGCGGTATGATGTGTATGTGATGATACAGATTTTGACTTATGATTGTAAGACGAATTAACCGCGCATTGTTGTGTGTCACACATTTTTTTGTAAGAAAATGATGATTGATTTTAATTCATTTTTATAATTTGTGAAGAAAAGATTATGCATTTCGATATTACTCAATAATCTTGCTGATGTGACATCCATCTTCTGGCTTTCTCCTTCTATATTTTAGATAGAAATCATTCCCTTGTTCAAATATAAATTGAATTTAAATCAATGGGAAAAAAAAATCAGTGGGTTGTGTGCAAAATTAGCTTCATCTGACCCCTTTGATAACTACAGTGTAACCCGGATATAAGAGACCCGGATATAAGAGAGATTTTCTCTGGTCCCAAATTAGAACCTGTGTTAATGTATATAAAATAGACCAAACCCGGATATAAGAGAAACCCGGATATAAGAGACTTCTTCCCGGTCCC